CATTCCGTGGGCAAAATTTGCAACGCAAACAACTTTCCAAATCTTTGTTTCCAACGGATCTGGGCTGCGCGCGATATAGTAATAACGACAGGTTTATCGAGCGCGACGGATAAACAGCGAAATAGCGGCCAAGGGCGAGCTCTTTCAATTCACCCGCCGCGCGATCAACCCGCGGCCCGTTTTCCTTCTGGATCGCGACGTTTTCGCCGGGACGGTGTGCGTCGTCCAAGCGCGCGCAATCAAAGTCGCGCCTCTCGGGAGTCGCCGAGGCGCGCGGAAGAGAAAGAGAGAGCGAGGGAGAGACGATTGGTCGCGCGTTAATTATTAATCAGCTCAGGTATGTACAATGTATACGTCGCGCGTGTGTGTCTCCGCTTATAAGCTACTATTTGCGTCGTTTCTTTTTCTCGCGCGCACTCCCACTCCCTCGCGCTCTCTCTTTCCCTCCAGATGTTTGTCGATCGGAGCGTCCCTCTGTTTGCAGCCGTTATCGCGTCCCGTGTTACACGTTGACTGAACCGAGAGAGAGCTATGCGCGCGAGTGCAACGAGGAGGCCGCCGCTCGCACGTCGGTAAAAGCGCAGGAAGGTGCATCGCCGAGCGGATTGTTACGAGCGACGACGTTCCCCCGAGTTCCTCAGGATCGCGTCGGACTGTGCCATGAGACGTCGCCCCTTGGCCCCGAGGAAGGAGAGCAGCGTTCACTTGGCAGTCCCGTGTTGACAAGTTCGTCCCTTGGACGGGAGATAACCTCGCGGAAGGACAGACTTCGGCTGGCTGCTCGCTGTCCAGCGTACGTTTGACACTTCTACCCTCCCGGCCGCCTGACAATTAGCAGATTATTAGCGTAACGTCAGCGTGACCTGTGAAAAATAAGCCTCACCTCGTGTCGAACCAGCGCCTAATTTCGGTACCGTGTCGGCCCAGAGTCGGGGAGTTGACAGAGAGCGCAACGGGGACGGTTTTATGATTATTACCGTAAGCTCTTGAAGTGACGTATCCACGGACAGAGATCGATTGAAGCCTCGTCTCTCGTCACGGGTCGTAATGCGTTTTTTCACACGTGACTCTGGAGAACGAAGTACGAACGTATCTCGGCGGGGGGGGGGGATTGTCGGTGAAGTTCAAACGCGCAACATTGTCGCGGGCTCATGAACGGTAGAGAGTGAAGCAAGTTGGTGGCAGTTGCTTATTTGTAAACAGCCTCTCGATATTCGGTTCGATGCTTCAGAGACCAAGTATCAGAAACATAACGTCAGTTAGCACAGGCGATTCACTTGTCCACAGATCCACCCTGGGAAAGATGTCGTTGATCGAGGGAGTGGGCGATGAGGTCACGGATTTCTTCATCGTCATGACCGTACTGCTGGTAGGCTGGCTCGCCTGGTGCTCGACAAGCATAGCGGACCAGCCGCTGATACGTACGGTACTTATACTGCGCGACCGGGTGCCAACGCGCATCACGTCGTTGCGGGCTCAACCTACGGCGAGCAGCCTCAACGTCCGGGACGCTGATCGGCCGCAGGGCTCGGAAACGTCGGAGGAGGAGGCACCGGAGACAATTTCGAATAGTGGCGATAGCGTACAGTCAGGCCTATCGAATGCGGCTGTTGTGGGTAAGGCTGATGGCAGAGAAGGATCCGTAAACGCTTAAGACTGTCTTAGTCGTGGACGTTAGGGCCTGAGCAGAATGGCTGTCTTATACTATCAAGACATAAGACAGTTATTGTGCGTTACCTCAAGACAAAGGCTTAAACCATAAAACATTGCCTTAAGAGTATAAGACAGCCATTCTGCTCAGGCCCTAAGACAAAACAGAGAAAAACGTGAGTCGTCGTGGAGGGATATTATATAGGACTTACGTTTTTCCGTGCCTTGCCTTACGCGGTGTCTACAATAAGATTTCAAGTAAGATTTAAGAAACTGACCAATTACAGTCGAGTAGTCTCCTCATATTCGACTATGATTGATTAATTTTTGAAAGGCTATTGTGTACGACTTACGTTTTTCTCTGCCTTGCCTTACGTCTACGACTAAGACAGTCTTGAGCGTTTACAGATCGTTCTCTGCCATCAGTCTAAAGGTTCCTTTCTCTGCGTGGGTTCTACTGGGTGTCCCAGAACTATGACCGCGGACAAGAATTTTGTCCTTTTTATACGCTTAAGAGACAATATTTTAAGCGTGCTCTCATGTAACTGCAGACATACATAACAGAATAAGGAAGAAAAATTATTGAATTGTGGATCCCAAGCAGCATGTAAAGTCTGTGGGATTTTAAGTGGACAAGTTCCCGATGATAAAATTGATCGTCAGAACATGGACAGCCTAGAGATTTTTCAGGAGTGATTAACTGAAGGAATTGATGTCGTAACCACTGAAATAAGATATCAAGTTATACTGATCATATTTTAAAATGTTTGAAATTCAGGGCATCACTTCGAAAATGTTATTAATTAGTTCCAGTTTTACTTAATGAAAATAATTTAAAATGAATCAATTGCATTTGTAGTTTTCTAAATAACTTCAAATTTCTTACGGACATAGTTCTGGAATACGGCTTAGTTAAAACCACGACGTACTTAAATCCCTTTCTCTGTCGTAATTAGATACGAGCGAATCGGCTCAAGAAATTTCGAGACCAACAGACTCTGCAACGGCGGAGGAAGTACTTATCGAAGCCATGGATTCATTCGGCAACACTGATCGATCGCTGTTACAAAGAACCGCTAAGGCGAATAATTCCAACGTGTTAGACCAAACTACTAGTAGTTCGTCGGGATGTGTGTCGGAAGAGTCGACGAACATAGACGATAGCAACAATAACATCACTATAAAACTGAAGTTCATAAATGACGATCAGAAAGTAGTCACGGGGAGTCTTAAGGAGATACTGGGTGATTTTAAAAGGTAATCCCGGTTTAGCATCCATTTCTGTACCACAACGAAGTCAAACACACTTTTGTCACACTCTCTTAACACAATTATCTGCCCTTTAAATAATATTTCTTATTTTACGAAAGAAAAATGTCACTTATAGTCACCAATGATGATTAAAAATTAAAACAGTAAGCTTGTTATTAACTCAACTGGCAAATTTTATTAAATTTGTTACAACGTTTCAACCTTATTGCAGGTCCTTTTCAAGTAACAAAACAAATAAGAAAACAAGGAAAAATTCATAGACTAGTACGTCATCGCTATTCATGAGATAAAGTCAAAGGATGTTTACATTGAACCTCAGTAATGTTCGGATGTGCGCTTATTTTATCTTTTGGCTCAATCTCACGGATGGCGATGACGTGCTAGTCTATGAATTTTTCCTTGTTTTCTTATTTGTTTTGTTATCTGAAAGGGACCTGAAGTAAGGTCGAAACGTTGTAACAAATTCAATAAAATTTGCCAGTTGGGTTGACAATAAGCTCACCGTTTTAACTTCTCATTTTGCATCCATTATGACCGATTTTATGCATTTCTCGTAGGAGGCACTTTCAAGTAGAGTTGGAAGCGCGTAAAGCAGTGCGATTAGTATTCAATGGCCGCGTGTTGCAGCCCGACACTCAGACCCTCGAGCAGTGCGGCTTGTTCAACGATTGCGTGGTTCACTGTTGGGTGCATCAACCGCGACCGGTCGCCGCGTCGTCCGCCACGCTGGATAACTCGTCGTCCATTTATTTCAATTCGCAGTCTTTCACGGATCTACCCCACGGCGCGGGGATAACGCACTCGATGCACAACGAGTGGGACCTGAGCCGGATGCTAGTGAGCATCCTAACGATCATCCTGGGTCTCGCGTGGTACTCGCGATACCATTACGCTCAACTCTTCACCGCGACGACAACGATCGCGCTCTACGCGCTCACCGCGATCTTCACCGTCTCGCTGTTTAGTAATTTTTTTCCTGATCAGGATAACATTCGAAACGTGGAATGATATGACGACGACGACGACGACGACTATTACGATTACTAAGACTACTAAGTTGTAATTTTAACGAAGGCACCTTAATACAAATCGGTATGATATACATTTTAACGTATGTGTCACGTATACCATAAGTTTAACGGAATCGATTGAACGGTAATCTTCGTCGTCGAGCATTTTCGAACGTAACACTCTCGATAACAATCTCGAGATCAAGCTTATCATTGATGATAACAAGTTCACTGCAATTTGTGATGTTCATCTCTCTTGGTGTTAATCCCGAGGGTGTAAGACACTGCGGAGCAAAGTAACGTGCAATGCATATTTCTACTGATATATATATATACATATATTCTCGGATTCTGGTTTATAATTAAAATATTAATTAAACTCGTTATACGCAGGAGGCGCTTTAAATTGTAATGCAATGTTTCTTGCAGAAAATCAAAAAGGAACTTGTTTTATGGTAACGACAGCAGGTGTGATCTAACATACTACATTGCATATATATTTAAAATATATAATGTATAATGCATGTGTTATAGATTATATAAAGTATACAGGGTACCCTCCGTTAAATTTAAAACAATTTAATAAGTAATAAAAGTCAAGGTAATTACGTCCAAATGCTACGTTGAGGGTGCAATAATACTTAAATAATTAGCAATTCAAGAGTGTCGTTCTCATCCCGCTTGAAGCATGTAACTGTAACAGGGGCAATGAACGTGACGTCTGAAATAACTCGTGAGTTTTAAACATATTGAGAAACTATTGCATCTCAACATTCGTTCAAGCGTAATTATTTTTGTTTCCTCTTCTTTTGCTCTTCATTAAATACTTTTGAACTTGACGAAAGATCCTGCATACCACCATTGTTCGCAAGAAATATTGCTTTGTGATTCGTATTACGAGGTTATTGGAAAATACTCTGTGCGATAAAATAAGTTTCTGTGAAAGTACAGTTTCCTTTGCAAGGTGTACATAATTTTGAAAGGATAACTTTTTCCGTTCAGTTAGGAAAAAATAATAGTTAATTTCTCCAATTTTCATTACGACTAAAGTTTAAATTATAAAGTGAGAGGATATTATAGAAATATTTTCTATATGTAATTATTTCGTATTTTCTTCAACTTTCTAGTGCATTGTATTGTTGGTGCTGCGTGACTCGTAAACGTTTTGATTCGCCGAATTTATTAAAATTATCTTATGTGCGTTAACTGCCACATCAGTCATATACGAATACTATTTGATCCCACGAAGAACTTCCAGGAAGCTAAACACGGTTTCTTTTCTTTTTTTTTAACCCTTTTTAGATCGTCATTCAACGACGCGGCTTCTTTGTCATTTGTATTGTATGATTAGACTTTCAGAAACGAGGAGGTGCATTAGTGACGCATATGAAATGGCAGTCGATGTATAAAGCACTATGAAGATGTGTTATGTCTAATAATGCGTGAATTGCAGTTACCATTAGTATAAAGCGAGTTGATTTGAATGGATTTTGTATGATAAGGAGAAAAGAATTGTCCACGCGCGATCTCTAAAATACTTACGTTATACTTATTTGTACATGAGAAACAATTGCATAGTATATTAATAAAATTAATCTTTTCTATAAAGAGAAATTAGGTTACTAAACGGGGATATTCACGTCGGATAGATGCTGCGAGGAGTATAAAAGTAGAGGTACAAGTTTCGTCAAAAGTGCTCGTGGCATAATAAAAGAACGGGCCATGTGTGACAGATTTATACCTCTCTGACTAGTGTAATATATCATTTGTTAAAGTTAAATTAATAGTTATAATATATATACGATTGTTTTAGTTAATGCTAATAAATGTCTATTTATTTGATACTTTTATTATAGTGCTCTCCTTGTTTTTTATATTTAAAATAATTCGATAAGTATACATATGTGAAACTTTGGACACTGATATGTTAAGGTAGATTTATATTTCATCAAATTATCTGTTATTCTTTTCTATCGATCACGAATCATTCTTTTTTTACAATCATTCAGCAAGATACAAATGGAATAAGGTGAAAAATAGGAAAACATTAACAAAAGTACAATTGTACAATGTTTTATTCTTTAATTTAAAAAATAGCCAATGTGTACAAACCTTCGTGAAAAATATACTTTAAATCACGTAAACGTCAAGTGACATTAAATAAATACTGTGAAATGTTAAATTAAATCATAAATATCGCTTTCCGACTTCTCTCACAGTAAATATTCTATGGAAGATAAAATATAACTCGCTGTACATCTTCCGCTTGATATTACAAATGCAATAACATATCAAATGTTTTCAGAAAGTTGAAGAGGAACATTACAAGATTCAATAATCTAGGTTTACGAGATTTAGTTCTATTCCCTTTTAACAACTTGATAAACTCGCAAATCGACGAAAGTCATTTTTAATTACATAGCACAGAGGTATGTCGACCTGATACTTTTAGCGTCTGTTTGTTAAACATACTCTTCTCCACTGGCTTGTCGTCCAACGTCCTGGTAAGTTTCTCAGAATTGAGATACAAGTCGTACGAGCAGCCGTAAATACCGAATACCAAATCGATCTCCTGTTTCAGGCGTTTGTACGTGATGGGCCCGAGCTGCGGGTCATACAACAGGATCTTGCTGTTCGAGGACGTGCCGAATCGCGGTTGCATATTCACCAGCGTCACGTTTACGTAGCCCGCGGAGGGTTGCGATTCGACCAACGCGAGCCTCATGTCCACGCCCTTGATCTTCTGCATCTCCTCGATGATGACTGCGGCGTTGGGCGGCAACTCCGTCATGTCTCTCTGCGTAGTCTTGGTCGCGTTCTCGATGAACTCCTTGTGGCTGACGACCACCCGGGCCAGGTTGCTGCTCGCGTCCTCGATCTCGTAATACGCGACGGCCTCGTCGGAGGGCACGAGCCGTGCCTTCTTGCGCAGCTTCTGCACTCGATTGATCACCTCCCGCGCTATCCCCTCGTTATGCATCGCTTCGTCGGCCGTGACGTCTAGAAGGATCAGAATGTTTCCCTCGCTGTGAGCCTCGTACCGCTGCGACAACTGCTCGGCGGCCGAGCCGGTGAAGCTGAACATCAGACGTAGGTCCTGCTCCTCGAGCTTGTGGCCCTGCACGACGATCTCCCTCGTGACGACGAACTTCTGCAGCTGCTCGTCGGACAGCTTTGTAATGGCATGGATAATCTGCTTAAACTCGCCCTTCAGACGAGCGCCGAGCGTCTTGTGGTCCGGCTCTGCCCTCAAGGTCACACCATACTTCTCCTTGTCGGTGGTGACTGTTAACTTCTTGACGTTGAGCTCCTCCAGAATATACGACTCGAGCGAGACGACGTCCCGCAGCACCTCGGCATCTCGATGGATCACCACGATTTCCGGCAGGGGATACTTGGTGGGTATGACCTTCCTGTCCCGTGCGGTGCGACCCAGTTGGATGACCGACTGCATGTGTGACACGGCCTTCTCAATGTCCTTGTCGATGAGATAGTCGTGCGCCTGCGGTATCAGCTTGTAGTGCACGCTATCTTGCCAGTCCTCGTCCCCAGCGCCGGGAGAAGACTCCCCGCCCGCGGGCAGAACCCACTTGGACAATCGCTGAAACATGAATTCCGTCAAGAAGGGCGTGAACGGCGCGTAAGTCTGCACCATCGTGTAAATCGCCAGGAACAGAGTGGTCAGCGCGTTCTTGCAGTCCTGCGGGTCGTCCTCGGCCTTGATGCGCTTCCTATTCATTCTCACGTACCAGTTGGTGAGATTGTCTATGTACTTCACCAGGTAGGGCACCACGGTGTACAGCCTGTAATGCGTCATTTCTTTCTTGAGGAAGACCAGCAACGACTGCGTGAAGGACGTGATCCACTTGTCCATTATGTTGCCGGAACACGAGTCCAGCCTCTCGTCGAACGCGAACGCGACCCCCGCCTCCTCGTATCGCTCGATGTTCTGAACGAGGAAGCGGAAGGCGTTGTACCACGGCAGGAAGACATCCTTGATGACGTCCCGCACGCCCTCCTCCTTGAACCTGAGGTTCTCGGCCCTCACGACCGGCGAATTGATGAGGTAGAGGCGCAGGGCGTCCGCCCCGTACTTGTTGACCACCTCCATGGGATCCGGATAATTTTTCTTGCGCTTGGACATCTTCTGGCCGTCGGCCGCGAGTATCAGACCGTTGGCCACGAGGTTCTTGTACGGCGCCCTGCCGAACAGCGCGGTGGATATCACCAGGAGCGTGTAGAACCAGCCGCGCGTCTGGTCGATGCCCTCGCCGATGAAGTCCGCCGGGAAGTACTGGTCGAAGCTGCCGCGGTTCCTGAACGGATAGTGCATCTGCGCGTACGGCATGGAGCCGGACTCGAACCAGCAGTCGAAGACCTCGGGCACGCGGCGCAACGGCGGCTTGCCCGGCCGTCGCGACGGTATCGTCAGGTGGTCGAGGTGCTCGCGGTGAATGTCGCTCAGCCGCGCGCCCGTTAGCCTCTCTAGCTCCTCGATGCTGCCTACGCACACGATCTCCTCCCGGTCCTCGGAGACCCACAGCGGTATGGGGTTGCCCCAGTAGCGATTCCTGCTGATTGCCCAATCGCGCGCGTCGCGCAGCCAGTTGCCGAATCGCTTCTCCTTGACGAAGTCCGGCACCCAGTAGGTCTCGCTGTTCGCCGTCAGCAGCCTGCTCTTGATCTCCTCCACCTTGACGAACCAGGAGGGCACGGCCTTGTAGATGAGCGGCGTGTCGGTCCGCCAGCAGAACGGATAGCTGTGCTTCACCGTGCCGCTGACGACCAGCCTCTTCTTCGCCTGCAGATACTTGACGATCTCCCGGTCCGCGTCCTTGACGTACTTGCCGAGGAAGTCGCGGACCGGCTCCGTGAAGCAGCCGCAACTGTCTACCGGGCACACGCTCTCCTGATCCTTGCTTATGATGCCGGCCGCCAGGCAGCACCGGAAGTCATCCTCCCCGAAGTACGGCGCTTGGTGGACGACGCCGGTTCCGGTCTCCGCCGTGACGTAAGTGTCGTTGAGTACTCTGAAAGCACCTCTCTCCCTGTAACGCAGGAAGTAGGGAAACGGCGGATCGTACGCCTTCCCCTTGAGATCCACGCCCCTTCTCTTGCCGACTATGACGTAGGAACCCTTGAGGGTGTGCAGCTGCGCCTCCAGCATGATGTAAACGTCCCCGCTGTTCTCGTTCCTCACCTGCACGTACTCGAAGGTGGGATTGACGCACAGCGCCAGATTGCTGGGCAACGTCCAGGGCGTGGTGGTCCAGGCCAGCAGGGACACCCCCGGCTCGTCCAGCAGCGGGAAGGCCACGATGACCGACGGGTCGACCACGTCCTTGTAATTCTGACCCGCCTCGAAGTTTGACAGCGGCGTGTTGCAGGCGGTGGAGTAGGGCATCACCTTGATGCCCTCGTAGACGAGGCCCTTGTTGTACAGCTGCTTGAACACCCACCAGATCGACTCCATGTACCACGGGTACATGGTCTTGTAGTCGTTTTCGAAGTCGATCCACCGGCCCATCCGGCCGATGATGGTCTGCCACTCCTGGGCGTACCTCATGACGATGCTACGGCACTCCTGATTGTACGCGGCGATGCCCATCTCGGCGACGTCGTCCGGCCCCTTGATGCCCAGCTTCTTGTCTATCTCGTTCTCCACCGGCAGACCGTGGCAGTCCCAGCCGAAGCGACGCTCCACGTGGTAGCCGCTCTGATACGCGTACCTCGTCACGATGTCCTTTATGGTGCCGGCGAGGATGTGGCCGTAGTGCGGCAGCCCGGTGGCGAACGGCGGCCCGTCGTAGAACGAGTACCTTGGCCGGTCCCTCGACAGCTGCATGCTTTTCTGAAACACGTCTCCCCGCTGCCATGACTCCAGCGTCGCCTGCTCCTCCTTGGCGAAGTTGATGGTCTCCGGAAGGTTCGCCCTCCCGGCGGAGAACCCTTCGGTGGACATGTCTCTGTGGCACGACGTTCCGTACCGGCTGCTAACCTGAAACGAGAAGCTGACGCAACTGAAGGTAACCTCGAGAAAAGACTGAACGGTACTTGGTGTGCGCACGCGCAAACGTGTCGCTGAGGGTTGGTCGCGCGCGGATTGGCTGTCGGGGTAGGAAGTTCTCGGGACATCGGAAAGTCGGTGCACCCGGCAGCCAATCAGCGCGCCCGAAATACCTGTCACACGCACACGTGCTATTTCCACGTGCCGTCCTCGATGGCGCCAACTCGGGGGTTATATCTGGTGTCGCGTCTGCGAGATGCAAAAAGGTACGATAAGAATGTCAGCGTAAACTTTATTGTTACTTAACAGATAGTATCAGGTTGAAGAATGCATTGCCGGAAGCAACTTTCATGCGTGAAGAATACGCGCATGTAACGCAGACAGAGGAAATATCCTAGACGGCAGAGAGAACCCACACAGAATTCTTCTTGAACCGCCGACTTTTGAAACGAATCCCTTTTCTATACTTCTATTTTTTTAATATTCTTGAAAGTTAAAAAAGAATTTGTTTTTATGCCGCGAGCTCTTTTTCCAGATACGAAAAAAAGTTCTTTTTACATTCTACAACCAAGAATTTCCGAAGAAAGGAATTCTTTTGAACAAATTACACCAATTCACTAAGAATTGTGAAAAGTGATTTCTTTTTGGGACGACATTAGAATACATAGATCTTTGAAAGATCGCCAGATTTATCAGGAGCGCATTTTTATATAAGAAGTAAACGAAACTGAGATACATTGCGAATTCAAATACTTGAACTCGGGAGTCGATTTGTCGATACTAAAATATTTTCGATGAAAATTTTTCGTGTTACAAATATCAAAATCATTTTCCTCCCTCAGGCTTTTCGTGCCTCACAATTGTGTTTTATTTAAATATTTGCACATTAGAATTGTTTTAATGCCATTAAAGGTCGTTACACGACTAGTATCTGTTTCTTGCCGTGGTATGTTAAAAAATGTTAAAATTAATATTGTTAATGTAAAATGTATAATACTTCGAGTTACAAAGAAAACTTTGCCGTTCTCAATTCTTCTTTAAGTACTGTAATATATCAATATAACTTGGCAATCTTAGTAATTAAGTGATAAATGCCAACCATAGGAAAAGTAATACTTTAAAAAGATTTAACATTTTATATACGTAGTATCAAAAAACATAGAGTAGCGAATAATTTCTATTATATCTAATTCCTAAATACGAATTATCAATGTCTCTATAGACCGCAGGAATGTATAGTTTGTTCGCTCAACTACAAAATTCATTCGAGATCTTACAGAAATTATGTAGAAGTTATATACACGTATGTATAACGTAGAAAGAGCAGATATTTACAATATTTTGTCACTCTGAAGATATATACAAAGTGTTCGATAATGGGTGCGACAAAATTTAAGGATTCTACGTGATAAAATAAGTATATTATTAAGTTATTAAAATATTCGCTATTCCACGCGAATTTTTAAACGTTTCTAATTAAGAAGCGAAGTCTCCACTGTAATTTCGTTGATCTTGACTTTCGTCTTATTTTATCATGTAGAATCACTTCTGAAATTTTCTTCCACCGAACATCCTGTATTACGATATATATTACTTCATGTAAATCTGACTAGAGAAGTACATAACGCGGGTGATCTGAATTCACGACGGATGCATAACGTGCTGCAGCCTTTGTCGTTGACCGCCAACGTAAATCACTTGTCTCGGCTCGTCCGGATGAATGAGCTCGTCCGTATGCTTCCACCGCCACTTCTTTTCGCTCTCCTTCACACGCCTGTGGTCGATGTAACTGATGACGCAACTCGCCGGTATCCATATGATGGCGGTGATGATTATCACAGCACCGACTATATTATCTTTGAGAAAGCGCATAACTTTATTGATGTTTATATCCTCGATGATGTCCCAGAATCGTTCCACCACGTCTTGGATCGTTTTCTCACACACGCCCTACAAGAACGCGCGTATGTAATACTGCATACTCGTAGAAATTGTTCTTATTCTTATTGAATTTATTATCTCACCTTGTTGCAGAAACCTTGAATGCACGGTGTTCCATCGGGTAAAATATCTTGCGGGTCTATCGGAAAGCACGTTTCGTTCAAACTCATTCTGCAGCATCTCTTACACGCCTCGGTGACTATAATACAAGTCGTGAAATAATAATATTAATAATTATACACATATATTGCATCTCTCGACACGCAATCAAAAATTAGATATACATGTAGAATCAACTGTAAAAACTCCCTAGTTTTTCGGTCTTTCCTCAAGCTTAAAAATATTTTCACAAAATAATATATGAAATCTTCAATTTTGATTAAATCGGGATTATAAAATCTCAAAAGTAACAGTTGGTTCCATTGACTGCACAATTAATAAGTTATCCGCAAATAAATAGCAATTTGTAGAAATAAGCTACAAAATAAGAATTCCACTCTTTCCAGTATGAAAAGAGGATACGGATTAATGCGCACATAATAAAATATCTCCATTAATACTTGTATGATATTACAGTGTAAGATTGAAATAAGATACGTACTAGTATCGCACATGCAGCTTTGTAGATTTTGAGTTTCGCAGTACGGTACGCATTTGCCTACGCGGCATTGACCACGTTCGAGACAGCCGGTGCCGTCCTTCATGGGCGGCGATCTCGGGCATTCGCTAGACGCTCCGGTGCAGCGCGATTCCTGTTCGCAAGTGGCGTATTGCGCGTCGCGACATTTCACGCCCGCAGTCATGTACGCGCAGCCCTGACAGCAAGGAGAGTTTTTGTCGCTGTTGGAAGAAGAGTTGAAAGTGCGCTCATTAAACACTGCATAAATATCCTAAGATTGTAATAGAAGACAGAAATGGATACGCAGGTGTGATTCCAAGCGTGGCTTACCTGCAAACTGCTCCTTGATTACTTCGAAGCTTGCAATTTTTATCGCAACAGGAGTCATTGTCTTCCGTTCCTAAGAGGCCTGCGTCGCACTCCTCATCGCCCTCGACCCTTAAATTACCACAGAATGATTCCTCCGGCTCCGAGAAGCAGCGTCCAGATTTGGCTTGCAGGACCTTCCTGATGGAACGCAGGCTGCATGGAGAAAATCTCTGTGGAGAAAGAAACTCTGTAAAGGGACCTATGTAAACTTGCATACAAATCTATGCAACATGCATGGAATAGAATATTCCATTGAAGAAAAGTTGAAGTATCCGATCAGATTTACGGTAAAAATTACAGCGTGCATAAAATATAACTCTACCTTATTGTTCACATCGTAGCCACTAACGCTGTAAGTATACATTAAGTAAGATCCACCTTGGCTTGCACTTGGACTGCACTCCTGCAATAATGTCAGCAAAATAAATTCCAGCCTCGGGAATTAGAAAAAGAAAGAAAGAAAAACTTGGGAGATAACTAATCAGAATATCCTTCAATGTCGCCAGCGGTAATCAACGTCAGTATTTTCTTGACCATACCTGGCGTTTTTAATAATACAGAAAATTTGTCGCAAAAAAATATTAACTCTGCCAGGGTTTGAACCTGGACCTCTCTACACCAATTCGACCACTGAGGTATTATTAAAAATGCCAGGTATGGTCAAGAAAACACTGACGTTGTGAGATAACTGTTGGTATATACAAAAGTACATTTCCAAAATTATGTATAAGATTTCATATTGTGGCAATTTCAATGTATATTTCGCGTTTTCACATACTTCAAAAAGTATTTTAACTCTTAATCACTTTCTTCTTGATGGCTCTTACTTGAATAGTCAAATGTTAGTTTTAATAATTCTGAGCTGAAATAACTCGCAATGTACGGCAATAATTGAATCGCAACTTGCCGAGATATCTGGATCATGCTCGGAGCCCCAATTATGGCCAAATTCGTGTGCTGTAACCAAATCCGCTTCCCTTGTAATCACTCTCTGTCCATAATGATTTCTGCTGGAGCTCAGCCCCGAGTTCAGATACAATGTATATCCATTTTTGAAATACTCTGCAAGAGAACGTAAGTTCTCTATTGAGTCACAAGAAATTCAATATCCATGTAAACGTCGTTATGTTAGAATGCGAAACAGAGTGCGGAATGATTTTTTAGTGTACCTGGCGTACAGATACCGCCCACGGAATTTCTACGAGGAGATCCTACGTAGGCCAGTCCGAGGATACCACCCTCGAACTTGAGATCGGTGAACAAGTGAGCCAAGCAGAAATCCTTGTGGCTGTATTCCCGACTGAACACCTGCAGCAACGTGATAACATCGTGAGAAGCGACGTTTCGTTTCAATTATATTCGACGAGGTCGATCACGTTAAAATTAATCAATGAGTAATTAAGGAATTTTCAGGGCGATACTCTTTGCAAAAATGTAATGACCTCGAGCAACGTGCGGACGTCCCACTTCTCGCGGACCATATTGTAATGCGTCTCGCCGCCCCTCACCCGCGTCGGCTCACTGTGAACAACGATCTTTTTGATAACGAAACCCATTCCTTTGAAACCGTCCTCCTCCTGATGTTCTTGCCACAAAGTGTCATTATAAATCTTGTGTACTCTATCGATCAAGCTTATCTGTAATTTTATATTATTATGATTATAGGCCAACGTATCTACAATTGCGTACCATCACGCTCGCATACCAGATAATTAATTGTGGTTTTTGTACTGCTGGCGCCCATTTCCTGATAAAATCGATAGTCTGCGACGAGTAGTAACGGACATCTCGTTTTCGTTGGTGTATATTCGTAAGTCTCCGTTTGCCTCTTCACCCTGCTGCTACTATTATCCATTTCTATATCGTCATCCTCAGAATTGTCGTTTAACGTATAATCTGAGGCAAAACAGTGTGACATTACGAAGCATAAAAAACAATATCTACTTAATAAAATTACATTGTATCTATATTCGCGGTAGAGCCGTACTTAAATCTTCTTTAACGTAGCCGCAGGTCTTTGGCGCCCCATGCGTATGACCCTCTCCGTTTTGGAAATGCTCCCAGCTGAGTTTAACGTCGGAAGACTTGTAAATAATCATCGACTGATTATCTAAGTGAGAAAGATGCCTCCAGGATGGCTGAAATGCAAGTTAACTTCTTTATTGCAACGGACAATCCGTGCCAGGCGTAACAGCGAATAGAGTGGTAGCCTAAACCTGATACGAGTTACAATTATTTAATACCAAGTTATGTTACAGAGTCACGTTTCTCTCCTTAACGTTATCAAAGTTATTATTGACATTATTAAAGCTTTAATTAATATTCTCTCACAAATTTCCAGCTACCATCGTATACATTCCGCTCGGTACTTACTTCGATATGAAAGGTCTCGTCCGAGATTGTTATGCTACCCGTCACAACACCGTCATCGATGTGCATCTGAGCGTGAGACTCGATTTCCCCGAACACTCGGCCGTGATAGAAATTATCATGATCTACGAATAATAACATTACAAAGCATAAGGACCTGTAATATTATCCGTCTTTGTCGAATTGAGCCTTACCTAAATGTACAGTTTTCTCCTTTCCGTCGGCGTTGACCTCGTACGCCTTGAAGTTGGAATGTATGACTTCTCTTCTGGGTGTTAGAATCAATCGAAAGTGGCTGCGGTGGTAAGAGACATTAGGGATCGTCATTAAAACAGGAAAAACGTCTTTTCTAATACAATTCAAGTAGCCAGATAACTCACCGCCCATGCGAATAGAATTCTAATTCGCTTATCTTGTTATACGGATGATAACTATGATGAATGCCTCGCTTTACAATCCTATGTTGGAAGTGGTTACTGTGAATCGTTTCATAATATCTCAGGCTTCTGTGGAGGCCACCTGTTGGCAACATTTTGATATCAGAGATTAGAAAGAACAGTTTTATTCATTAATACCCGAGGGGGAAACCGCTGAAAGCATTGTGGTGTACAGATTTGCGGCGTTACTGGGCATTACTAGGCATTAGGTCTCGCTGGAGTATTACAAAGATAAAATAAGATAAAACAAGATTAGTGGGCATTGGTGTACAAGATTTTGGTCAGCGGTTTCCCCCTCGTTAATACCTGGACCTGTATTCTTATCATTACCTAAGCTTCAGGCTGTACGTACGTTCTACCACAGACTTCTATAGAAGCTGTGTGAACTACAGCCTGAAACTCATCGATGTACAAATGAGAATGAAGATCACGAAAACATGAATCCTGGTAAAACCGCGGTCCAGGCATTAACGAACGAGACTGTACTTGCGCAAGCTGACTCGCGATAGCAATGGAAAACAAGGGAGCCGAATTTCTTAAAATTATCGCAGCGAGATATCGAGATAAATCTATCGCTTATTTTGAGTTGTGATGAAATATCGGGCATTGAGTATCTTTCGCCGAGATTAAATCCGAAGGACCTGCTGAAGTTCTTGACACAGCTGTGGGGAGAATCAAAGTCAAGATATCGATTCGCCCGTCGAGTTCTACTCCTGAAAGGATATTCATTTTCAATTGCGGTCGTGCATCTTCCTCTCATTGCCAGCTTTCATCGAAGGTATGAATTTCTCTCGCGCCGATCGCGAGTCAGCCCGCAGCGTGTGGCGAGTTAAAAAGAGAACTGAATTAAAACGATTAACGAGAATTCACGCAAAAAATCCGCGATGTGTATTCATTAATTTCCACAAGATCGACGCGGACGGTCGCGCAAACGTTACGAGAGGGGCTCGGCTTCTTCTCTCGATTGGCCCGCGGTCCCACAACGGAGGCACAAGGCCACGAAGCGAATGAAAGAGGTCACAACTGTAAACTGACAGCGAGACGTGTCCAACTTACAAACACTTTGCAGCGTAACGAAAGCGCAGTAGATAAACAGAGCGTTTCGCTTCTCCATTCTCGGGAGGGAAAAAAAGAGAGTCGGCGATGCAAGCACGAGGACTCGGCCTCTCCTCGTTTTCTCTCCCTGCGATCCCGCCGTTGACGTCGCGTCGCGATTCCGTCAATACCTCGGGCGCGATCCGTCGAGGGATTCACGGCATAATAACGCGGCGGGGAAGAGCGCAAGTTTGGATAATGACGGACTAGTCGAGCGTAGTTTCCCTGTTTACATCCGTCATGATGACAATCCGCGCGAGACAGGTTACGTACAGCGACACAAGCCTCGGGGCCGCCCAGCATTGGGTGCTACACGCTACACCACATGTTCACGCACACAACCCAAACCGTGTCCGTGTGCGCCTCGTCGCAACCAGGCTTGCGTTAGTTGCTTTCCTTTTACATGAGAACTCAGATAAATCTCACTTGTGCCGTCGTAACTCAGTTGAATGCATGTCCCTTTTGATTCCTGAGAAGTGAGATTCAACCAGATTTAACTGAGTTTTTGCACACGGTCAAGACCGCGGTTCAGCAGAAGAAGCTGGTGTGCGACGGTTGTAAAGTTTGATTGGAGAGTATGCCCTTAAATTCTGCCACAATTAAGAGCATACGCCAATTTCGATTCAGGACTTTTACAACAGTTGCAAAGCATCTTTTTCTGCCGAACGCGGCCAATGTTTTCGCTCGGTCCTCCTACTGAGTTAGGAGTACTCTTATATATGATTTTGTCTCGTTCTAGCGTACTGCACCAGTTTCACCAGTGCAGCAATAGAAAACAAGCCTATTGCTGGCCATTGCCGCGCTAAACGCGGAGCGTACACGGACGCGGCTTGCAATGCTTGCATTCGTGTGCGTGAGCATCGTAATGTAGCTGGTGTAGCACTCGGTGGTGCTGGCGCGGCCGAAAGTTCAGGTACCGTCAGCCCCTGCGACTCGGTGCGCGAAGTCAGGCATGCGCGACAGCGCGGCTGCGACGAAACATTCAATTGCCACGGTCGTTTCCCGCGTTTCTCTCGAGGTTGATCTCCCGCCGTTCCCGGCGATCTCAAATGTAAATAACAAGCTACGCGAGAGACACACGTCGGTTTTGGATATCCCCGGAGAGTGATCGGCGCGCAACGCGCTCGCGCGTCGAACGTCGCTACATCGTCCGCCGACGCGCACGGTCGCGGTCGTTCCTCGGACTCGCCGGTCCGTTCAGGTTAGTGCTCGTGCACGGCAACTTTTCGACGTGCGACGTCGAGTTCCTCCCGTAGGTTTGCGTGACCGACCGCCTCGATCTCGTGAATGGAGAGCAAGTAAATGCATGTCGCTCAAGTTTTACGTGAATTCTCTGTTAATGTCTGTCATTTCCAGATCGTCGGTCATCGTTGGCTTCAATCTTCCGTCATCGATCCAACTTCGGTCACGGTCAAACCGCCGCTTCGAAGTGTTTGGCCCGGTCTGCAATGAGTTCTTAGGCCCGGTTTCACCAACGTCGTTTAACTTTATACCTAGCTTAATTCGTTCTTTGTCTCTTTCCAACTGTTTAGAAAGAGACAAACACGAATTAAACTAAGATCAAAGTTAAGCGACGTTTGGTGAAACTGGACCTTAGGTCTGGTTTCACCAACGCTGTTTAACTTTAAGCCTAGCTTAATTCATTCTTTGGCTGATGGCAGACAACTATCCGTAAGCGCTTAAGACTGACGTAGTCGTAGACTTAAGGAAGGCAGAGAAAAACGTAAGCCGTAAGGAACACGTGTTCCTTACGGCTTACGTTTTTCTCTGCCTTACCTTAAGACTACGTCAGTCTTAAGCGCTTACGGATAGTTGTCTGCCATCAGCCTTTGTCTCTTTTCAACTGTTTAGAAAGCGACAAGCATGAATTAAACCAAGATCAAAGTTAAGTGACGTTAGGTGAAACTGGACCTTAGGTCTGGTTTCGTCAACGCTGTTTAACTTTAAGCCTAGCTTAATTCATTCTTCGTCTCTTTTCAACTGTTACTTTAGAAAGAGACAAGCATGAATTAAACCAAGATCAAAGTT